ATTTCATTTTTCTGAAATGGTTTCCGAAGTGGGGTGGTCTGACAATAATAATTGAGGGACGAAGTCCCGAAAACGAAGCGTCGCACAGCGACGTGAGAGCATATTGCTGGAGACGCCACAGGCGCACGAAGCTTCCGGCGTGGGGTTTTGGAAAATTTTGAAACTTTGATGTGGTTTTTTGCATTTTTAAGTAACCCAAAACCCTCCTGCTATCACGAAAGAAAAGCTGACCATGACTCACCACTCATGTTTATGTTATCCATTACGAGAACAATACCAGTTATAATTATTATAAACTAGCAGGATACCCGGCTTCGCTCGGGGTTCACAACTTCGAAACCGGAAGTAGTAGACTAACGCCACCTGGCCTACGTTACTCCCCGGTCCGAGATACCCCTATACCCCAAACTTCAGACTCAGGGCAGACCTTGTGTAGCTGCCAACCCCAAAAAGACCGGGTTCGCTCGAGGGTCATAACTCCGAAACCGGAAGTGGTAGACTAACGCCACCTGGCCTATGTTACTCCACGATCCGAGCTACTCCTATACCCCAAATTTCAGACTCGGGGTAGACCTAGTGTAGCCGCCAACCCCGAACAGACAGACTTTGCTTGGGGTTCATAACTCCGAAACCGGAAGTGGTAGACTAACGCCACCTGGCCTATGTTACTACCCGGTCCAAGCTACCCCTATACCCCAAATTTCAGACTCGGGGCAGACCTAGTGTAGCCGCCAACCCCGAAAAGACAGACTTCGCTCGGGGGTCATAACTCCGAAACCGAAAGTGGTAGACTAACGCCACCTGGCCTATGTTACTCCCCGGTCCGAGCTACACCTATACCCCAAATTTCAGACTCAGGGCAGACCTAGTGTAGCCGCCAACCCCGAACAGACCGGCTTCGCTCGGGGGTCATAACTCCGAAACCGGAAGTGGTAGACTAACGCCACCTGGCCTATGTTACTCCCCGGTCCAAGCTACCCCTATACCCCAAATTTCAGTCTCGGGGCAGACCTAGTGTAGCCGCCAACCCGAACAGACCGGCTTTGCTCGGGGGTCATAACTCCGAAACCGGAAGAGGTAGACTAACGCCACCTGGCCTATGTTACTACCCGGTCCAAGCTACCCCTATACCCCAAATTTCAGACTCGGGGCAGATGTAGCCGCCAACCCCAAACAGACAGACTTCGCTCGGGGGTCAAAACTCCGAAACCGAAAGTGGTAGACTAACGCCACCTGGCCTATGTTACTCCCCGGTCCAAGCTACACCTATACTCTAAATTTCAGACTCGGGGCAGACCTAGTGTAGCCGCCAAACCTGAACAGACCGGCTTCGCTCTGGGGTCACAACTCCGAAACCGGAAGACTAACGCCACCTGGCCTATGCTACTCCTCGGTGCGAGCTACCCTATACCCCAAATTTCAGACTCGGGGCAGATGTAGCCGCCAACCCCGAACAGACAGACTTCGCTCGGGGGTCATAACTCCGAAACCGAAAGTGGTAGACTAACGCCACCTGGCCTATGTTACTCCCCGGTCCGAGCTACACCTATACCCCAAATTTCAGACTCAGGGCAGACCTAGTGTAGCCGCCAACCCCGAACAGACCGGCTTCGCTCGGGGGTCATAACTCCGAAACCGGAAGAGGTAGACTAACGCCACCTGGCCTATGTTACTACCCGGTCCAAGCTACCCCTATACCCCAAATTTCAGACTCGGGGCAGATGTAGCCGCCAACCCCAAACAGACAGACTTCGCTCGGGGGTCAAAACTCCGAAACCGAAAGTGGTAGACTAACGCCACCTGGCCTATGTTACTACCCGGTCCAAGCTACCCCTATACCCCAAATTTCAGACTCGGGGCAGATGTAGCCGCCAACCCCAAACAGACAGACTTCGCTCGGGGGTCAAAACTCCGAAACCGAAAGTGGTAGACTAACGCCACCTGGCCTATGTTACTCCCCGGTCCGAGCTACACCTATACTCTAAATTTCAGACTCGGGGCAGACCTAGTGTAGCCGCCAAACCTGAACAGACCGGCTTCGCTCTGGGGTCATAACTCCGAAACCGGTCCGAGCTACCCCTATACCCCAAATTTCAGACTCGGGGCAGACCTAGTGTAGCCGCCAACCCCGAACAGACAGACTTCGCTCGGGGGTCATAACTCCGAAACCGAAAGTGGTAGACTAACGCCACCTGGCCTATGTTACTCCCCGGTCCGAGCTACACCTATACTCCAAATTTCAGACTCGGGGCAGACCTAGTGTAGCCGCCAAACCCGAACAGACCGGCTTCGCTCGGGGATCATAACTCCGAAACCGGTCCGAGCTACCCCTATACCCCAAATTTCAGACTCGGGGCAGACCTAGTGTAGCTGCCAACCCCGAACAGACAGACAGACAAACGACAGTCACAAATATTAGTATAGATGTAGAATGGGACAAAATAATGAATATATATTTTTTTTTTTTGCAAAAAAAAAGTGGGGGGGGCTAAAGCCCCCCCGTTCCGCGGCCCCTGTTATAGAATGAATAATCTAGACTCTGGCTGTCTGGCTACAGTTATTTTAAGTTATATATCATTAATATTATATAATTAGTTTCATCATGGACCTTATGTATTATATATATACAAGATCCATGGTTTCATTTCATTTTTCTGAAATGGTCTCTTTTTAAGTTTAATTTGGCTAATCTAGTACAAGTTATAACTATAACCATTTTATTTATTAGTTGTCATATTCTCTATGAAATATAATTATAGTACCCTGCTTAAAAAATTAAAAAAAAAAAAAAAGCAACAAGGAAAAGTTTTATTTCCCCACACTTCAATCTAAGACTTCGGGTTTCTCGCTGTTAAAAATAATATTAGCCTAGATTTATTGTTCTATTCTAAGAAGATGAAGTTTGGTAGAAGAAACAAAAGATGACGGGGGCTTTGACGATCTTTAACGAAAACATAAAGTTGGTATATATTAACCTATAACACCTCCCTCTATTTGGAAATGTTAATTAATCGATTAATTAAACAAATTAGTGATCAATACTCACCGCAAACACTGCAATTAACACCTCCTCCGTAATCCACGTAACTTCTTAGAATACCAATAACATCGCTCAGTTCTAGTTCTCTCGGGCCTCTTCCACCGCTGTCATAGTGCTTAGGGGCTTCAAATCGGGTCCGTTTTGGCCTGGATTGAAAGTCGGAGAGGTGAGACGAATGGATGCTAGTCAAAACCATGGTGACAGTGCCAAATTAAATCGAAAATAACAAATTTTCTGCACCTGTCTAACTATTGTTGTCAACCATTATACACCTATAACCCGCTCTCTGTACTCTAAACCAATCAGAACTCCGCTCATTCATAACTTAAACCTATCAAAACAGTCAATTAGCCATTCTCGCGGGAACTACTGTCAAAACAGCGCATGTCTGACCCCAGTTAACCCTCTTTTCCCGCCATTTACCGTTATCTTGCTACTAAAAATAGAAGTTCGTAATGTATATCATACTCGATTAACCAGATTCTAATTTACTCGATCTACCAGTCACAGTTACAATGACATTTTATCTACTGGCGTGTAAAATAATTACTGGTCAGTAGTGGTCAGAATTTATATTTATCTATAAAAAAATATATTTTCGTGGAAATATTATTTTTAGTATATGACATTAAAAATTGTTTTCCTAGACCAGAATATTTAGATATTATATGAAACTATTCTGTAAAAAAATGGATATATGACTTGAGAATTTCTGAAATAAGTCAGTAAAATCCAGGCAAAGTTGAATTTATTTATACTCCTAGATGTCAGAATGTCTATTCCAATGTCTATTATGTTTTTTTTTTTGTTTTTTTTTTTGGAAATTCAGGAATAGGAAACTGTCAAAATGTAATATTTATAAATATGGTAGAGAGAGAGAATCGCCACAAACTAGGTCATTTCGGGACTATCATAAGGTTAAATTTTATTTTCATAATTCACTTGTGCATAGGGGTCTTTAATTAGCAGTGGGAGGAAACCAGAGGACCCTAGAGAAAACCAACGATGTTGGACAGACGACCCTACTCCTTGTCACGCTCAAACGAGGAGACAAAACCACGCCTCTCGACTCAGTGAGAGACCTTATAATCTAATGTGCCTGCATTAAGGCATTCGAACACCCCAATCCCCCATTAGAAATATGAATACTGAGGTCTCTACCCTAGCATCTATTTTAATTTGATTGTCAAGACATAAAATAACAGGGTGGATGTGAAAAGAATTCTTGGTGTCAATGAAATTCCAGACAAGGGCTAGGGCTTTTGGACATCTAGTCCCTTAGAACAAGGTACAAAGCCAAAACTATTTTTTACTGTGTATTATGCTCCAACTGGGCTAATGAAGACGAGCATACGCCATACAATGTGCAATGAGGGAAATTTTACCCAGACAGCAGCACTATGGCCTACTCTTATATTAAATTCCAACTGCCAAGGGATCTTTTACCTGCACACCAATGTGTACATGGGACCTCGGTTTTTCGTCCTGTCCGAACGACTAGACAGCTGTCCTTCTCAGGCCTTCCGTCCTGCATAACTGACATGGGGAACCACGCCTAAAAATCTGGATGAACTTTCTTGGCCAATGCAGGGATTGAACCCTAACCCTCCAGACTAGCGAGTCAGCGTCTTACCCACTTAGCCACCGTAGCCCCTGTATTATATGAGTAACCCACTGTTGTGTAGAGAGGCCGAGAGAGAGTGAAATGGAGTTTATCTTCCACTCTGCACAAACTAATGCATTTTGGGAATCGGGACTAACACAAGGTTAAATTGCGCATAGGGGTCTTTAGCAGTGGGAGGAAACCGCAGGACCCCGAGAAAACCAATAAAGTTGGACATGTGACATTATTCTGGGAATTGAAACCATGTCACCTGACTCAATGACAGCCCCCCCCCCCCCCTCACCCACCCTTGCATGTAGTCGTTCAAGTATACAAAAAAAAAAACCAAGAAGATAATTTATAGAAAACATGACTTTATTATGCAAAATGATTTTGTTTAAAATAAAATAAGAATTTTCTCCTATGATACATGGTTCATAAAGAATGATGATTTCTTTAATAAAACAAAAACAGAATTCTTAAAACCTGATTCAAAACACCAGGTAGATAACATCACCAGGTAGATAACATTACCAGGTAACATCACTTGGTAGGTAACATTACCAGACTGGTAATATCACTAGGTGACATCACCAAGTAACTTCACTAGGTAACATCACCAGGTAACATCACCAAGTAACTTCACTAGGTAACACCACCAGGTAGGTAACAACACCAGGTAGGTAACATCACCAAGTAACTTCACTAGGTAACATCACCAGGTAGGTAACAACACGAAGTAACATCACTAGGTAATACCACCAGGCAGATAACAACACCAAGTAACCTCACTAGGTTACATCACCAAGTAATGTCACTAAGCAGGTAACTTCACTAGGTAACATCACCAGGTAGGTAACAACACGAAGTAACATCACTAGGTAATACCACCAGGCAGATAACAACACCAAGTAACCTCACTAGGTAACATCACCAAGTAATGTCACTAAGTAGGTAACTTCACTAGGTAACATCACCAGGCAGGTAACAACACCAAGTAACGTCACTAGGTAACATGGACCAGTAACATTGACCATTTTTAATTGGTAATCAAATATATAAAATGTATATAACACATAAAATGCCAATCAAATAAAAAAAAAATGCTTTTGTAAAAACTAGACAGCCCTCTGATTCGGCATAAATTATTTCATTAAAAGTTATCAATTAACAAAAAATAGTATTAAAAAGTGAAAGGTTTTTAACAAAAACTAATTAAATGACTTAAAAAATGCCTCATATAAACATAAACAAAATAGTTTGAAAAGAAGATCTTCCATTATATAAATATTTTTTTATTATCAAATATGGACAAACGATGATCAGTATAGGTTTTTCATCCTTAGTGTACCCAGATGCAGGATGCAGGGTGGAGGGTTTCTGAGAGATAGAGTTTCCTCCCTTGGACCCCAAAGAAAGAGTTGAATTTGGGAAACGAGAGAAAGGGTTTGTTAATGAAATGCTGACAGAAACGCTGGACTCTTATCAGGGGTCTCGGATTTACAAGTCATGATTAACAGGTATTGATAGCTGTAAAATTCACCTGTCAAACAATTTACATTTAATAGAAATTTTGCATTTAAGAGAGTTTGAAATGAAATTGGGTTTGTCGTTTTACATTTTCATCAAGTTTAATCATAAAACGTTCAATCTGCTTAAAATACAGATCTATATTTAAGACACCGTGGATATTTTGTAAACAGTATACGAGTCGAGTCGTGTATCCTATAGTTTTGCGAAGCAAATGTAACGAACAAGGATAAGTCATTAACAATGACTGATTCACAAACAACAAAATAATAATTAAAAACGTGTGTAGTATAAACTAAGCAGATGTAAACGACTGTCGTTTAATTTCGACTGTTCACGTATTTCATCGAACATTTTTGATTAGGAATTACAATAAAATTTTTAAAAATCAAATATAAATCACTTTATCTACGTTCATATTACATTAATATGTGCTTTTAGACCAATTTCGCCTGTTTTAAGGTTCCCAAAGAATAGAGCCATACGCCCTTTAAACCAATATATTTAAAGTACACTGCATTTTTATTGGTTGGGAGTTAAAAAAGAAAAGACATTAGGTTGTGTGCAGGCTTTTCATTGGATGAGTACAAAATTTGGCCAAAGAAAAAGGCCTCATTCGAAAAATATTTTATTTTATTTTAACCCTGGTTTACTGCTGGTGCACTACGGAGAATATGAGTGGTGAATAGCTTCTTGTATAGGTTTGGTATCGGATAAAATATAGATGAAAGAAAAATAACTCAGATCTTGACTGGGTAGGTTTATTTAACGTATACTTAAAGGATATCGGTCAAAACTGTCTTAGACTGGGTAAACGTTGCCTTATTGGAATCCCGGTAAAACTTTACTCACATCACGAGCGGCATGGTACATCATAGTTTTGACGACTGAAGCCACATGACGTAAACATGTTAGTTTTCACATTTCGTGTTAGTATCATGTGACTAATATACCAGTTCCTATTGGCTAACTCTTAAAAACTGTCTGCTACCCGTCGTAAAAAGTCGAACATATGCGACTCACTAAAGACAAGTTGCGGACGGCAAAAATTAGTTTCAGGTTGGTCAGGTTTTACTAATGGATTCAGTTTTCGATCGCCAGTCCCAGATATAAAAAATAAATTTGACAAATGCCATAAGGGTGACATAAGCCTGACCTAGGTTGTGATAGTCAGACACTAAAATTTTGAATTTGAGTAATCAACCAAACCACTGTATGGATTAATATTGACCAGTCATTATAGTATTTTGGCGAATAATTGATTCCATACAGCCATAGTCGAAGTCATTATGAAAATTTGCCATAAACTGTAATATTTTTAATTTTGAATGTTTTCTGGAAGAAAAACACAGACAAAAATAAAAAGATATTTGCATAAATGATTTTACACTCTAGTTGGGCTTCAATAGAAGAAATGGAAGATGAAATATGATTAATTAGAAATCTGGATATATAGACCTAATTGGTTACAAATTGTAAGATATATAGTAGTAAAGAGTTCAGCCTAAATATACAATACATGACCTTTTGCATCGGTACGAAAATGAACATGTCATCAATTCATGTGTTACTTGTGATGTCATCAATTCATGTATACTTGTGATGTCATCAATTCATGTGTACTTGTGACATCAATTCATGTGTACTTGTGACATCATCAATTCATGTGTACTTGTGATGTCATCAGACGACTAGGCCAGAAAACATTAAACGAACATGATTACGTTTTCCTGTTTATTTCAGTTCCGATGCGAAGGGTCACTATTTATTATGAACATGTAAGAAAAGATTTAGATGCACTTGATTTCAAACTCTGGAATCTAATTTCAAATTGTCCTTTTCTGATATACACTACACTATAAATTTGAAGAGTCTTATGTTTTGACTTAAATGCTTATATATTGTAGTGGTGATTAAAACGACAAAGTTCCATGTATTACACTACCATTAGGGTATCGTTTAGTTGTTCTGTTTTACCAGAAGTTTCTGTATTTAATGTTTAGTTTCAAACAATTGTTGGCAAATTGTTTAAATATTGGGTTCTTATTATCGCGTAGCTTAAAATGTTCCGTCTAGATTAGATAATGAGTGTTCCGTTTACAACTGTTTTCTTTCACTAGAAATGTTGAGTAATTAACAGACTAATTAATTACTCATCACCACTAGTGAAAGTAGTAAACCTGACAATCATTATCTAATTAAGATGGAACATTTTAAACCTAATATTTTTTGATGATTCTCAACGAATTTGAACAATTTGCCAACAATGTTTTGAAACTAAACATTAAATACAGGAACTGGTGACAACTATACCATAGTAGTGTTAATACAGGTTATCTATAAAATAAAAATACATTGTTCCCCATTCTACATCCAATAATATCAACATCCAGACAATTCATTCAATTACATGTTTCTCATTCATCAACAACTTAAGAAATTTACTCGTAAAATCAGGTTCACAAAGCAATCTCAGACTAGGGCAAAGTATTTACTTAAAATTGTTTGCCTTATTTTAACTAAAATATCGTCCTTTATAAAACTTTTGTTGTTTTAATGTATCAAATACATTAATAAGAAACTATGTGCAAAGTTTTGTGTTTTTGGATCAAAGATATTTCTCATAAACAGGGATTAAAATTTGAGTAAATTCTTAAGTTTGAGAATGTGAACTTTTTATACAGCTTTGATTTAAGTTGAAATCCCCTGAAAATTAAAACAGCTTTAATTTGTTAATCTGGTTGAAAACCCCTGATTAACTTTTAATAGTTTAATAGAGAGGTCTTTACTGTTTTAAATAAGACTCCCTTTTCTAATTTAACTTCCACCGCCCTGGGTGGCAGGACTCCCTTTTCTAATTAAGTTCCACTGCCCTGGGTGGCAGGACCCCCTTTTCTAATAAAGTTCCACAGCCCTGGGTGGCAGGAATCACATTTCTAATTAAGTTCCACCACCCTGGGTGGCAGGACTCTCTTTATTAAATAAGTTCCACCATCCTGGGTGGCGTGAAACCCTTTTTCTTAAATAAGTTCTTAAGGACTCCCTTTTTAAAAACAAAAAACATGAAAGTGACGTGACACAACAATTGACAACAACAAATCAATCTATATACATATAGAACATATATATATATATATTACAGTATGTATGTACTACCTGTTACCACAAACTAGAAACTTGGACGTCACTACACTGTCATGTGCCAGCACAAGGTGACAGTAGTGACGTCACACAACACAAGAGCCAGCTCTTGTTGTGTCAATATTATGTATGCATGTATAAAGTACAAGAAAAATAACATACAACCAAGGTGGTGGTAAGATTAGAGTTTCCGTATATATATACATTGATATATTTATCTTATACAAACCAAGAACACATCTTATTGGTTGTCTCTTAGAATTAAACACCAATCAGAATTCATGTAAAGTACTGGACAAAACAGGATAACTACACAACAAATTACAGTCTGAATTTTGATACAAAGACCTTGGTTTACATCCCATCCACACAACTAGATACTTTTCTGTGAAGAATTAAAATCTAAATTTGTGTGATCTAAGCATACACTGCCTGTTGCATGGCTTCTGCCGATTTGTCTACATTCTGATCCCGATGGCAAAAACTTTATGAGAGTACAATGAATAACAAATTCTACTTCAAACTATGCTTCAATCTGATTGGTTATTAAAGTTGATGAACGAAAACTTACAACCAATTAAAATTTGATAGAAGTTTGTAGGCAAAATCCAACAATATTACATGAGGAAACTCATCTTCCACCACCTCGGTAAAATGTAAAAAAACTTCTCTCCCTACTTCCTGTAGATGAGAGTAATGGATGTATCACTTACAATATGAGAACGCTTTCTCGAAAACGTAAATTAAGAAATTTTTAAAGATACTGCATTTTGATAGGTTTCAGTTTTAGACCAATGACATGACAGCATTTTAAAAATAACTTCTTCTGAAGTTTCGAGAAATCGGCCCCTGAACAACACTTTCAAGTACAAGTACAAATCATTCTGTAAGCCACACTGCCTAAATAAAGATACAAAACATTGTGATACATTTACCACGACGCTACAGGACCCGACAAGAACGTATTTAATAATAAAAAGTTTCTAGACAATAACAAAAGGTACAGATATTAATATAAACATATTCAGCTATTGTTTAAAGGCACTTGATCAAGCTCGGGAAATTCTTTTTTTTTTGTCAAGCACTTTGAAGCTGAAAATCACTCCCCATAATTTCCATTTGTTTATTCTTTACATCATTACTGTGTCTACTACATCAATTGATGTCCTGGTACCTAATTTGTAAAAAATATAAACTGCCCTGTGATTGGCCAAGAGGTAAAATTTGTACTAAGATTTTAACTAGCAACCAATGAAATATCTGCATCCTTAAAATATATTACAAGTAGGCTCCTGGCTACATTGACTCCAAATATCGTTTTCTTAATTAAGTACATGTACCTCTGCCTTTTGAATGAAAGGAATGATTCTCTTTAATATGATATAACTTACTTATAATATCGCTGACTTTATAGAAATTTGGAGAGCTTCTTTTTTTTTTATTAAAGATAGTTATATTTTTCAGCTAACAAGCTAAAGTTAAAGTATAATATCAATTCAACATATGACATTCACAAATAATTCATGCCTCAAATAATCTTATTTCATAAAGGGAAAAAAAACATGATTCTTGTCAGGTCCTTGTGAGTTTTTGTTTCCAGTCATTTTAACAACAAGTGATTATGAAAGAATTATTAAATTATAAAGAAAGCATATAATCGAGATTTGTATTGAAAGAGTCAAATATAATTATGATTTTAATACAAGACTGAGTTATCTACCCCTAGATCTGCTTCACAGGACTGAAAGTTAATAAAATGAGGTTTAACATCCTACTGGGATAATGAAGATGGGCATATGCCGTACAGTATGCTAGGAGGGAAATGTTGCGCGGTCAGCGGCGCTACAGCCTACTCTTATATTGAATTCCAACTGCCAAGGGATCTTTTACTTGTACGCCAATGTGTACAGGGGACCTCATTTTACTGTCTCAAACAAACAACTATTAATTGTCCTTTGCCAGGTTCTACATCACTGACAAGGGGGAACCATGATGGAAAATCATGACAAACTTTCTCTGTCAACACAGGGATCGAACATGAGACCTCCAGGTTACCGAGCCAACGTCTTACTCATTCAGTTACCGAGACAGAAAAGAAAAGTTAAAAGTTTGATTCGTCTGTATCTTGAGGCTCAAGCTACAAATGCAGTTGAGGCTATGTTTTTGAAAATGGGGTTTGAAAAACATGCTAGTTTTACAGTATGTAAATTGATCGATGGGTCATGAAAAATTGCGGTCAATTTCTTAACTCAAGCAGTCATCACCAGCATATATGGCGGAGTTGGTATCCTCTTGATCATGGTATTATGGAGATCCAGTCTTGCCTGAACTGCATCAGGGATGGTTCCACCCATCTTATTGTAAATACATTCGCAGTCTTGAGAGTTTAACTTGGAAAAATCACGACAACCAAAATGATACAAAATATTCAACACCCATGAACTTAAAGGTCCACGCTACACCTGGATTAGAATCTAAGGGAGATAACTCAGTCTATGAGACTACCTATAAAATTTGATTCTTTCCACTAGAATCAAATCAGGGGCTGGAAATAACAGTAAGCCACATGACACTGACAAAGTGAGGCACCCATACTCTGATGTCCAACATTTTTTCAGGCAATGATTTTGTTCTTTCTGTGTATATCTCAGCACAAAGACAAAATGTCAGGTACAACTCTTGAATGTGTCGGACATCTTGTTATTTCCAGGCCGTGATTACATGTTTTATTGTTTATGATTTTACAGAATAGCTAAAACAAAGAATGACTATTTTATAATTATCAAAGATGCATTATGTAAGATTTAGGTACAGGGCTGGTCATTCTTGCTAAAATAGCAATTTTCATTCAAATTACTTTATGTCTGAGCGACATTATCACTGTTTGAAGTTTTAACAATGATTGTTTATCATTTTAGCAACGTTACTTGTTAATAGAGACTAAGCATCGCTTCTCCATTTCTAGGTTAAATCATTAAATGGCGATCCTATTTTAATCCGTTAACATCTGTGCCATCCGATGATCTAGAGTTGATTATAGGCTTGTCATATGAATAAATGTCTAAATAATAGTTTATATAAGATATGAAGCCAAAATATATTTTTGTAATAGGCAGATTTAGCTCTTACATAATGCATCTTTAAGCAAATTAAACAAAATGAGGTATATTTCCACCCCTTCGATGCCCGTTTAATTAATTCAAATGATTACCGGTATATAAGGATATAGGCATACAGATCATATTGTTATAAATATGAGTGAAGTTTCATACAAATGAAATGATTTTAAGATGAAGACGGAATTCTACAGACATAGAAGTCAAAATAATATATTATCTAAATGTTATAAACCTTTTGATTCGGGTTCATTAAGAAGGTGATTTCATTTGTGCATAATAGTTACCAACTTGATTAAAATACAGATCTATATTTCGTTTCATTTTTTTATACCTTCGATGACCTCTACTACATGAAGATCTGATCGGTTGTCATGGAAGGTCGCATCAAGGTTCATACAAGCGGCTTTTGACCCTATGACGTCTGACGTTTGATTAACCAATAAGCTGTTATGTTTCTAGTGGGTTACGCCAAGAGGTCGCCATTGGCTAATCTCTCACATCAACCAGAATGCAGGTTATATAACAGCTCTTCTAGATCCTAGTGTAGTAAAGATAAGTAAAATGAAATTTTAAACTATAAAAAACGAAACGAAATAGGATGTATGTTTTAACCAGATTGACTCTAGTTAACGATGATAAAACCTCCAAGTTTATAATAACTATGTGTAATATTATATTTTGACTGGAGTCTATGGGAACTGCTCGGTGCAGAATGTTCCGAGTATCCCGTATGTTTTGACAGGAATCTATGTCTGCAGAATAAAAAGAGACTATATATATATATATCTATATATAATGTAAATATGTTACAATAAGTAAAAATAATGACAATGTTACAGAATGCTACATTTGACTTTCTTTCGGCGTCGACGCCGTCTGTGGTGATTCTTTAGATCTTCAGGTTGATCTCTAAAATGATAAATAATTGTAACAAGAAATTAAAAACTTTGAGTTTAGAACGAGAGAGAGCGACACAAACTAGGTCATTTCGGGAGTAGCACACGGTTTAATTTTATTTCATTAATTCGCTTGCTCGTAGGGGTCTATAGCAGTGGTGGGAAACTCATGAATCCGAAGAAAACCCACAAGGTTGGACAAGCAACCCTACTCATTGTCACGTACAAGCAGGGATTCGAACAGACACATAACTCAATGACAGACCTAATGATGCAACGTGCACACGTTAACCATTCCCGACCCCACCCCACTCCGGTTTGAATTACAACTGTCACAGGATCTTTTACGCACTACCACCTTGTTATCGAGAAGTCAGTCTCATCCGAACAGCCGGTCGCGCAAAAATTTGACAAATGCAAACCATGTATGAAATATATCCAATTAGAATTGAGATCCGAATCTGACACAGTTCTTTCAGTCCCAAATAATCAAATCAGATCTTGAGATAAGATGTACGAAGAGAGCAGATTTATTATAATGCCTGATTCATCACATCTAGGGAATAAGATCGTGAAATAGAGTACCCTGAGATTCTCTCTAGAATAAACCGGACACAAAGACAGACATTGAACAAGAGCATCGCTAACGCAGCAATATACGTCCACATTCCTGTTTTGTTTGATATGGTCCAGTTTGCATTGAGGGTCTGTGAAATAAAACTGGGTTGTAGGACTGCTATCAGTTTAACACTTCGTTCACATTAACAGAACACAATTTTTATTTTAAAACAATCGATGTCTTTATTCCAAAAAAATGACGTTTCGAATAGGTATGCAAAGTTTCAAAAGAATCTGTTAAGAATTGCGGTCTGTAGGCAAAACACAAGACACACAAACATTAGGTGTGGCTCTGTCCCAAGGGGTCGAGCATGCACCAAAAATAATAATAGAGGTCGGCCTTAGGATTAAGGAATAAGTATAAAAAGTAGCCTTAGGCTATAAGGAATAAGTATAAAAAAGTTTTCAAGATGATCGATTAAGAAATGCGGTCTGCAAGTGACACACAGACATAAAAAAAGAAAATGGGCGTAGCTCTGCCCCTGGGGGTTGGGTATTCACCACAAATAATAGGGATGTTCCTTAGGATAGAAGGAATATGTATGCTAGGTTTCAAGGTGATACGATAAGAAATGCGATCTGTAAATATAAGGGATGGGCGTGGCTCTGCCCCTGGCGGTCGGGCATGCACCAAAAACAATAGGGATCATCGTTAGGGTATAAGCAATTCATATGAAATTTTTTCAAGACGATTGATTAAGAATTGTGGCCTGTAGGTGACACACAGACATAAAAAGAAAAGGAAATGGGCGTGGCTCTGCCCCTGGAGGTAAAAAAACAATAGGGATCATCGTTAGGGTATAAGCAATTCATATGAAAAAATTTAAAGACGATTGATTAAGAATTGTGGCCTGTAGGCGACACACAGACATAAAAAAGAAAATGGGCGTGGCTTTGCCCCTGGGGGTTGGGCATGCACCCAAAACGATAGGGATGTTCCTTAGGGTACAAAGAATAAGTATGCAAAGTTTCAAGATGATACGTTAAGAAATGTGGCCTGTAGACGACAAACAAACAAATACAAAAAATGGGGGTGGCTCTGCCCCGGGGAGGCGAGCATGCACTAAAAACAATAGGGATCATCCTTAGGGTATAAGGAATAAGTATGTAAAGTTGATACGTTAAGAAATGCGGTCTGTAGATGACAAACAAATAAATAAATATAAGGAATGGGCGTGGTTCTGCCCCTGGGGGTCGGGCATGCACCAAAAACAATAGGGATCATACTTAGGGTATAAGCAATTCATATGAAAATTTTTCAAGACGATTGAATAAGAATTGTGGCCTATAGGCGACACACAGACATAAAAAGAAAAGAAAAAGTTCGTGGCTCTGCCCCTGGGGTCGGGCATGCACCCCAAACAAAGAATAAGTATGCATAGTTTCAAGATGATACGTTAAGAAATGCGGTCTGTAGATGACTAACAAATAAATAAATATAAGGAATGGGCGTGGCTCTGCCCCTGGGGGTCGGGCATGCACCAAAAACAATAGGGGTCATACTTAGGGTATAAGGAATAAGTATACCAAGTTTGAAGAAAATCCAGTAAGAATTGCGCCCTGTAGGCGACACAAAGACACACGAAAAGAAAATGGGAAATGGGCGTGGCTCTGCCCCTGGGGGTTGGGCATGTACCCCAAACGATAGGGATGTTCCTTAGGGTACAAAGAATGTGTATGCAAGATTATAAGTTAAGAAATGTGGCCTGTAGACGACAAACAAACAAATACTAGAAATGGGCGTGGCTCTGCCCCTGGGGGTCGGGCATGCACCAAAAACAATAGGGATCTTCCTTGGGGTATAAGGAATAAGTATACCAAGTTTGAAGAAAATCCAGTAAGAATTGCGCCCTGTAGGCGACACAAAGACACACGAAAAGAAAATGGGCGTGGCTCTGCCCCTGGGGGTTGGGCATGCACCCCAAACGATAGGGATGTTCCTTAGGGTACAAAGAATGTGTATGCAAAGTTTCAAGATTATTAGTTAAGAAATGTGGCCTGTAGACGACAAACAAACAAATACTAGAAATGGGCGTGGCTCTGCCCCGGGGGGTCGGGCATGCACCAAAAACAATAGGGATCTTCCTTGGGGTATAAGGAATAAGTATACCAAGTTTGAAGAAAATCCATGAAGAATTGCGCCCTGTAGGCGAACCACAGACACACACACACACACACACACACACACACAGACAGGGGCGACGGCATAATACGTTCACATTATGAATGTGGACGTATAAAAATGAGCAAAGAAACAGACATAACTTGTAGTTACCTCCCTTGAATGGAAATGAAATTAAGTCAATTAGCAGATTCTTCAGGCTATGGTTGAAAGAGGGCAACTAGGTTATTTTAGGGCTAAAATATTTTATTTCAAAACCGGAAGATCATGAGAAAACCCACGTGGTTGGGCAGACGATCCTCTTCCTCATCATCAAAACCACACAACTTGAATCAATGACAGACCATAGTTTTACGAATAAGATGAGCATATGCCATACAGTGAGCTATGAGGGAAATTTTGCCCAGACAGCGGTACTACGGTCTACTCAAATATCATTTCCAACTGTCAAGGGTTCTATTACGTGCACGAATCTACATTATTCCTTGCCAGACTCTCTGTGCTGCACCACTGACAAGAGGAAGCCACACGGAAAATCCGGATGAACTTTCTTAGCCAATGTTGGGATCGAACACATGACCTCCAGGTTGGTGAGCCAACGTCTTACTCACTGAGCCACCATGGCCCCTCCTTACGATTAAGACAATTCTTGAAATTTACCTGATAACACGAACAACATCATGAAAAGCTTGGTCAACATTTAATGGTGGATCTTTAGCACTTGTCTCTATATACTTTATCTATAAAAACAATAAATATATAAGAATTCTTCTTCATCAAATTTCATAGGACATAAAATTGGATGTCCTACTGTTCTGCACAATCATGATAATGAGAATTCACACAGGGCCCCTGAGTTCAGAAAGCCTTCTCAGACTTAAGTTAAGAATTTACTCAACTTTCAATCACTGTTTATGAGAAATATCTTAGATTCAGAAACACAAAAATTTGCACATATTTTCTTATTGATGTATTTGATATATTAAAACAACAAAAGTTTTATAAAGGGCTATATTTTAGTTAAAATAAAGCGAACAATTTTGAGTAAATTATTAACTTTAGTCTGAGAATGTTTTGTGAACTGGTGGCCAGGTCTTTTCATTCTTTAAAAGCAGGTTTGGATAAGGATCTATAGAGACCCTAAGCACTTAGAAGATTTTGATGCCCCCATAAAGTATACAATTCAAAATGTAAACAATAATAAATCATAAACAACCCGTCAAGCACGTACATGTAGTTAGAGTTTTTCTGAGGTTTTATACACGTCTTATCTATTAAGACAAAGAAGGCAAGAGGAGACAAAAAACAATGACAAACAAATCAGAAATTCTTATTTAATGTTTTAAATTAAATATTTTGAATTTGTCATCTAACAAAGCAGAAATTCTGTGGTGTCTCTCTTCCTACGTTGCCCTAAGCACGTGCTTAATGCAAGCCTGGAAATAAGATACCTGTCACTGACAATGTCACCCACAGATTCAGGCTTTGTCAGACACAAACCACTGGTGCCTGTCATTTTGTCTGGCACTGATTTGTCTTTTTTATTGATATTATTAATATATGTCCGGCACTTAAGCTGAAAATGTCAGGTACTATTTCGTTAGTGCCTGACATTTTGTCAGGTAAACGTAAAAGCGTTATTTCCAGGCCTGGCTTAATGGTTAATAGAGAACTGTGTAAAAGTAATTCTTGTGTTTAACTCACCCGAAGTTGTCTGGCTAATTCTGATCCCGCTTCTGTCGTTACTTTACGTTGATGAACTAAATCTACTTTATTAGCTACTAAAATCATAGGATACGTATCTCTGTAATATAATATGACACAAATATAATGAGAGAGAGAGAGAGAGAGAGAGAGAGAGATGGGGTACATCCATGGCAAGGTTTGGGGTCATTTGTGTGAAACTTATCACAAGATTTTCGACTTAGATACTTTTGATAGTGTTTACTCAATGACAGACCTTATGATACAATGCGCACGACGCACATGCTAACCATTCAGCCACCTAACCCCCCTCCATTAGGCCACCTAACCCCCCTCCATTAGGCCACCTAACCCCCCTCCATTAGGCCACCTAACCCCCCTCCATTAGGCCACCCAACCCCCCTCCATTAGGCCACCCAACCCCCCTCCATTAGGCCACCTAACCCCCCTCCATTAGGCCACCTAACCCCCCTCCATTAGGCCACCTAACCCCCCTCCATTAGGCCACCTACCCCCCCTCCATTAGGCCACCCAAGTTGTAAAATGAAAATACTGTGACCCAGAGAAAACAACAAGTTTAAAAAGGCGACCCTTCTCCTTGTCAGTCAAGTACAAGCTGGGGATCGAAACCACATCATTTTACAGACCTTATGATCTAAACCCCCCCCAATAAATTAATGTTACATTACATACCTATCCTTTACCCGTAATATCTGTGTATGAAAGTTCGGTATATTTTCAAAACTCTGTTTATCAGTCACGGAATAAACCAGTAAAAAACCATCTCCTTTTCTCATGTACTGTTCTCTCATGGCACTGAACTCTTCTTGACCCGCTGTATCTAACACTGTAATGACAAATAACAAATTTAACAAATAATAACAAATTTAACAAATAATAACAAATTTAACAAATAATAAATAATAACAAATTTAACAAATAATAACAAATTTAACAAATAATAACAAAGTTAACTTTCATGGCACTGAACTCTTCTTGACCCGCCATATATCTATCACTGTGATAAATAATAACAAAATTAACAAATAATTACAAATGGTACTAGATTCATTACAAATATAACTAGCAGTTTTAGATACACTGAAATGTAACAAAAAAATAACAAATTTAACTTTCATAGCATTGAACTCTTCTTGAGCCACTGTAATAATAACAAAATTAACTTTCATGGCACTGAACACTTCTTCACCTGCTGTATATAACATTTTCATGTAATAAATAACAAATTTAACCCTCGCGGTTATAGATTCATATCAACCATCTGTATCTAACACTATGTGATAATAACAAATTCAAATATCATGGTACATGTACTAGACTCTTCTTGACCTGCTGTAACACCCTAATTTAATAAATAATAACAAATTCAACTCTAGGGGTTCAAACGACATAAATAATAACAAATTTAACTCTAGTAGTGGTTCATGATGATGATGATCGGCAACTTTAAAACCTACAAATATGAAAAGTAATTTTAATCATTATTATGAAAGTCTGAATTGTACATCTACAAGAGAATTTAGAATTGAGCAATAATAATTGTGTGTTATGTTTAATATGCCCTATATTTCAGATGTAAATGTCAAGCCAGTTGAACATACCAGAACTTATAGTATACATGTACTGTGGGTTATAGATGTTACTGAACAGTATAATACAGTATAACTTGTATCTATACTGTGGGTTATCGATGTTACTGAATGGTATAATATACTATAATTTGTATATATACTGTGGGTTATAGATGTTACTGAACAGTATAATATAGTATAACTTGTATCTATACTGTGGGTTATCGATGTTACTGAATGGTATAATATACTATAACTTGTTTATATACTGTGGGTTATCGATGTTACTGAACTGTATAATATAGTATAACTTGTATCTATACTGTGGGTTATCGATGTTACTGAATGGTATAATATACTGTAACTTGTATATATACTGTGGGTTATAGATGTTACTGAACAATATAATATAGTATAACTTGTATCTATACTGTGGGTTATCGATGTTACTGAATGGTATAATATACTATAACTTGTATATATACTGTGGGTTATAGATGTTACTGAACAGTATAATATAGTATAACTTGTATCTATACTGTGGGTTATCGATGTTACTGAATGGTATAATATACTGTAACTTGTATATATACTGTGGGTTATAGATGTTACTGAACTGTATAATATAGTATAACTTGTATCTATACTGTGGGTTATCGATGTTACTGAATGGTATAATATACTGTAACTTGTATATATACTGTGGGTTATAGATGTTACTGAACTGTATAATATAGTATAACTTGTATCTATACTGTGGGTTATCGATGTTACTGAATGGTATAATATACTATAACTTGTATATATACTGTGGGTTATAGATGTTATTTATTGTATGGTACAATAGGCTAGACTAGTACTATTATAAATTGTGGAATTTACTATTAAGTACTAATGATAATAATAAATCTGGTTAGTAGGTTAAATCATATCTATATTAACTCTGACTAACACTTCTATACAGATCAATCATAACAACTGGCTGGTGACTAAATCCCTATTTTACCTCTAACTAATAGTCTATACAGGACCGGAGCCTTAGGCTGCTTACATGTACTAAAGAAGGACCTAATTTTGCGAACAAAATGACAAAAAGTAAAATATATATTTGATACTGTGAATTTATATCAAATAAATGAGAGATTATATAAATACACATGTGTATATTACTGTATGGTGCTCAAAATTGTTTTTTTCCTAGAGTTGGTTTGTTAAAATTCATTGGGATTTTCCGGGGATGTCACTCGTGTCAGTGGTGCAGGATAGAGGGCCTGACAAGGCGCAGCTGTCTAGTCGTTCAGATGGTATGAAAAACTAAGGTCACATGTACATTTTGGCGTGCAAATAAAAGATTTCTTGGCAGTTGGAATTTGTTATAAGAGTAGGTTGTAGCGCTGCTGTCTGGGCAAAATTTCCCTCATAGCACACTGCATGACACGTTGAAATATATATGTTAGTCCCGAAATAACCTAGTTTGTGTTGAGTGGATGTTAAACCCCATCTCTCTCTCTCTGTCTTTACACAGTTCTCACTATATAGTAATGTTATTTAAAACTGTATAAATAAAAGTGAATATTATAAGAACATCCTGCCTGATAGGTAATTTAATACTTTATACATTAATCACTCATATTACACAAAAGTTTATTGTGTTTATTTTAAATTAAATGCTTATATGTAGACTATCAAACAGAACTAGAAACTTGTCTAGTAGTTTGGAAGGGAAGAAAAACTTGTCAGGCAGGAAATAGTCTAGCAGTTAGGATGGGAAGAAAAACTTATCAGATAGGAAACAGTCTAGCAGTTAGGATGGGACAAAAAACTTAAAAACTTGTCAGGCAGGAAATAGTCTAGTAGTTAGGATGGGAAGAAAAACTGGGGTCCTGTGTATACGTAAATGAACCATCGGCAGATGGGATTTGATGAAGTGCAGGAGCAAATGCCGCTGTCCAGGCAAAATGTCCCGCATAGCACACGGCATGGCATATGTTCAGGTGTGATTTTGGGTGGACAGGTCAGATATTTTCGAAAAGTGGTTTCAGCCACAGTGTTGAAATCCACGGGAATTTTGAATATTATGTACCATGATGTCCGATTGGGTATATTTCTGGTCGGACAATATAGGACGTTTTGAAAATAGCGTCGGACAAGTCCGGAATATACGGGCGAAATCACATCACTGGTTAATAGGTACATGTATCAACTTGTCTGGGTTAAACACTGCTGTAACCCGAAACGTCTCGCAATCATGATTTGACTTTTGTAACGTAAACAGATGTTTCTAAAATTATGTACAACAGTCATCAGGTATGATTTTGGATGGAAGGACATTTTATTTAACCAGTGGTTTTGTCCATAGGGGCCAAGTTCACAGGAGTTACATCAGGTGCTAACTGATTAGGGTAAAAAAAAAAATGTCCCAAAACATCCTACAACTGATGATTTTGCTACATACATGTAATCAACAAAATTCCATAAAATTTTCCTAACATAAACAGGCGTGATGTTGTGTGGATGGACATTACGTCAATAGGCAGACGAAGTGACTTATCGTCAATAGGTTACGGTAGGAAGATAAGTCACTTCGTCTGCCTATTGAGGATTATAGCCACTGCAGTGGTTAAGTCCACAGGGGTCAAATGGGTATTAACTGGTTCTTGTTTGGGTTAAAAACCGTCCGTGGCCCGGAACGTGATCACAATTGTGATTTTGATTTTAAGGCCAATCAAATCCAATAAAAGCTTATCTGTGTTAAATACCAATGATTATTTAACTTAGGGTATTTATTATGACTTTAATCTCCTCGTATTTAGGTCATCATCCTACAAGTAAACATGGAATATAGAGGTTTATAGCCTAATCTGTTGGCTCAACACCAAATGTCTTGAGGGCCAGGACCCAACCCTTTATAAACATTTAATCCTACATACCTATACATGTACTTGTAGGTTGTCATAAATACTTCTTAAAAGTCACTGATTCGCGTTTACATTTGATGGAGAATATCTAATTTTTCACGGTTTAAACATGCATTATGCAAGAGCTAAATCTGACTATTGCAGGTCTTTCTTTAGGCCTGAAATGTTATCTAAATTATTAATTAGACATTAATTAACTTATCCAGACCATAATCAACTCTAGATGGCATCTGATTTCTCCGATATTAAATAGATTAGAACAGTTCAGCCATATTTTGATTTAAGCTAAAAATGGTGGAGCGAGACTTATCCTCGAATAACCAGTACGTTGGTTGAAATTATTGCATGCGTCTTGTCAAACCTTCAAAGGCTAATATCTTCGCTCGCAATAGAGTAATTTGTATGAAATTTACAAATTATTCATTTTACATTATCTATTTTCGAACTATTATAGTAAGAATGGCTAGCTCTTTATCTAAATCTTACATAATGTATCTTTAATCCCAGCTAAACTGTATTCAAATTGATTAAGAAAACAAAATCAATATACCAACAGTAGATAATCTCATGGTTTGGATTAAATCAAATTAAAGGATATTGTCTGTAGTGGTTGCCAAATACTCAGAGAGTAAGGGGTTGGCTCCCTAACCCAGAGATCCATTGTCAGTGGTGGTGGTAGCGGTTGGAGAGCCTGGCAAGTGACAATGTATAGTCCCGTGTACACATTGGCGTGAACGTAAAAGAATCTTTAACATTTGGAATTCGATATAAGAGTAGGCTGTAGCACCGCTGTTCGAGTAAAATTTCCCTCATAGCACACTGTATGGCATATACATGTACCCGTCTTCATTAGCCCAGTTTAGGAGCAGAACACCAGAACTTGTTATACCCCATTTCATTTCATTTCCATTTCGTATGCCAAATATTTCCAATTCATCATACATAGATAGACAAGTTTCTTTGTGAATACTGAACAGAATTGAAACATTTTTAAACTGATGGCAACATTTAGAATCGTCTGTATCAAGAAGTTGGGTAAAATGTAGTCATGGGCAACAATTTCAGATAATCTTGGATTAAGATGTGACAAATTACAAAATGTTTGTAAAATGGAGAATGGGAATCGACAACTTGTTGAAAATATTGCGACCTGTTTAAATGGGCATTATGGAAGATTAGATAAAGAGCTGACAGTTCTCGCTATAATAGTTAAAATCTAGATTATGAAAAGGGAATATGTTGAAAATTTTAGTCAAATTACTTTTGTCTGAGCCAATTTATCGCCTTTAGAAAAACAGTGTAGCTTCGATAATAAACAAAGTCACAATTATCCATTT